AAACCGGGGCTGGCAGAGGCGGTGTCCACCCGGAGCTGCCCCGGGGAGAGGAGGGAGGCCTTTGCTAAGTGAACTCCTTCCAACTTCATCGCTTCATGTGCCTGGGACTGCAAATAGTTCATAGAAAAAAAATCAGTGAAATGGTTATTCAGGAATTTTTGTGACATTCCCGCCTGCTCTCGGAGTGGAGATAAAGGGTTAAACTTGAACAACAGCTCCATAAGAATCGTTAAGGGAGTGAAAATGTGAGATGCTCCTAATAGAGTATTTGGGGAGAATTTTGGGAATGAGCAAAAATCACTCTTGCACAACTGTGCAGCATGATTTACTCCAAGTATAGCCCTCGTGCTTGATTAGGAGAATGCCTCCATGTACATTTGTTTGTAAAAACTGCACTCAGATGCACCAACTCAGGTGTTTCTTTTTCTTAAGTAACAGCAACAAAAAACCCAACCAAACAAATAAGGTACTTGCAGGAAGAGCAATTAGCACCAACTATGCACTTAGACAGTTCTAGAGAATTACAGACCAAATAGCCTGCATGAACACTTTAAACACTCTTTTGTTTTTCAAAATATTTACTTAAACAAATATTTACTTAAACAAATTGACAATTTCAGTACTTTAAATGGGAAGCTCCAAGCAGCAGCAAAAAGGAAATACTGCACTTTACAGAAGCACAAACTGAGTAACAATGAGGTGAGATGTGTAAATGCATTGTATTGTCAAGGCCATTCCTCTCCCGTAGGCCATGTTTTCTCTTGGAGTAAATCACCCCAAACCACCTGAATGAGTTCCTGGAGTTCAGCAGCAGGTTTGCAGCTCTTGACTTTTCTCACCCAGACTGACCACATGCCCCTTTCCTTTTAAAGAGGCTTAAATCTCTCATTTTTAAAATTCTCTTTCCAGTGCTTCTGTAAACACATGAGATGAGAGCTGAAGGCATCTGCTTATTTGCAGAACATCACAGGAACATCAACAAGGACAACTTATTTCCACTAGTACCAGGCAAATATGGTCGAGAGATCACTATGTATATACATGCCATGCCGGTTAAGAAGTAATTTTGCTTGTCCTTCTCACTGGAATTACCAATTGGAATTACTCTGTGCAGATTTTGTGATGCAAATATAGTGTCTGTCCAAGAAACTGGACAGTTCATGTTCTCCCCTCTTGTTGGCACTGTGTTCTTTTAACCATAAAGCTACATGACTTTAAACTGGCACTAAATCGGTAACCATTTAATGTCAGTTAATATTAACACATATTTTCTTTGAGGGTTTGTCGCATTTGGTGGACTCTTAAGTATGGAAGGCCTCACTAGGGGAGGAGAAAGGTTTTATTCTGGCATTTTTATTCCTCTGTATTGTTTATTGAAACCCAAAAACTTTATCCAAGAACAAAGCAAACTTTTCTGGCTGTCCAGGTGGAAAAGGTTTCAAAGTTGACAAGTCCATCAACCGCAGTGTCTCCACAAGAGTGCTGTAAAAACAGACCAGAACAAAAAATTAAAAAAAAAAAAAAATCCATCCCAAAGGGAGATTTTTTTTTCTCACACAATTTTCTTTCTATTCACACATGCACAATCCTTTAGAATGGAAACAAAAATAAGGACACATAGTGAAAGGAAGAAGAAACCCCACAAATCAGCAGTCCCCAAACATCATAGGCTCATAGGCAGCATTGCTGAGAACACACTCCCACCCATACCAGAGAGTTCACAGAAAACCTCAGCTCTTAACTTTCTAATCTTTTGTGGTTGCAATGTTGGGAAACTGAACAAGATCTGAGGATCTTCACAATAAACTGTACCAGGAAATTCAGCCTATTTGAACACATGGCATAGTTCTCCACTTAACACATAGCCAGAAAGAACAGCTACATCAATCTGTTAGCTTGCTATTATCAGACTGCAAATGAGGCTCAAATGCTAGGCACTGTTGAACAAAAAGAAATAAAAATCCTTCCCGTCTCCGAAGCTGTCAGAAGCACTGAGATAATAAGTTTAAGAATAACAGGCCCAGTCTTTTCAGAAGGCTTTTCTGAAACATACAAAATCCAATCTGCAGGGCAAAGGAGCAAGATGCAGGCTAAATAATTGCAGTTGCATTTCCTCTGCCTTCAATTTAGAGGTCATCTGTTATTTACAGAGTGCAATCAATCATAAATAAAAGAGGAAACAGTAAGATACAGTCAAAACATGAGAGTAAATGAAACTAACAGGAGCCAGGAATGAACACAAACAAACAAGAGGAGCTTGGTTTTTGGTGGTGGTGGGCTTTTTTTTTTGGGGGGGGGAGGTTGTTTGGTTTTGTTTGTTTATTTCCTGAAGTGACAGGCAGTAGATCTGTGAAACTCCTTTTCAGAGGATGTGGTGGATTCAGGAAGTTTGCTTAAAAGGGCAGCCTGAGTAAGTACTTGGAAGACAGAGGTATTGACAGTTACTAACCAGACAGCATCTGATTTAGGAATCCCCCCTAAAACAAAGTACTTAAGAGCATTAGAGGGAAAATAATACAAGGAAATACCATGTGTTCTAGCTGTTTCTACTTTTGGCTAGGCATCTGCATATGGCCACTGAAAACAGGATAATGAGCTATGTGGGCTCCTGATCCGTATCAGTAAGACCATTGTTATGTTTTGTTCTAAGTACTCCAGATACTTTAAATTTTATTGTGTCAGTACAACTATACAGTCAACTTCAGCGCCCTTTACAAGGAAAATCCACATAGCAAAATCATGAAATGGAGTCCTAAGTCTGCAGGGAGCAATTTATTCCTTATGGCTCATGGTAACAAACTGACAGTCTGTGTTGTATTGTTTCTAGACTTTCAAAAATAATCCAACAACTAGTGAAAAAGAGTAGAAAAAAACTGTTAGGTGCCTCTAGGATGCTACCTGATTGTTCCAACTTCTACTACTTCTATTTGGTTTAAATTGCTCCTTTCAATCTAAATATGTATGCCCTCAAAAAAAAAAAAGATTTAAAAGGAATCATGGTCAAAAGGCTTGATAAGTTTGGTAAAGTAACACCTAATGTTAACGTATCCACTATGGAAAATCGACCTTGCAAACAAATGTTTTTTACAGAGAAGGATGTGAATTTCCTTGTTACATTCTCCATTCTCAATACTGTGATAACGCGCTGAGTGATGGTGCTGAACACTGCTTGTTCAGTCTGGACAGCCGCAGCAGCTCCATACCTGCAATTACAGCAGAGGACGTGCCCATCTCTGTGGAGCTGTCTTGCCAGTTCAAGCTGATGGTTGTCCATCAGCTTGTCGTTTATTACTACTATGAGTGGTTTTCCTTTTTCTAGAGTTTCCAGACAGCTACCTGCACCTACAGGAGAAACAGAAAACACCGTGAGTTTTTGCCCTGACAGATGAAATACCATCTTAACTGCTCCTGAAACACGGGAGACTCCTGAGGGCAAACATTTAACCACTCAGCT